AGATGGGAGAGAGGCAGAGCGGGAAGCCATGGGAGAGAGAATGGAGGGTGAGAGAGCATGAGGGAAGGGATTGGTTTTTGGAAGTAATTTGGGGATTTTGAGAGATAAGAAATGGATGGAAAGGGAAATAGAGCTTCTCTATCATAAAAGCATTCAATTCAGCCTTTTGATTGGCTACTTTAGGGTGAGGTTGGATCTCTTTCTTTCTCTTTCTCTCTCCTCTTCCTCTCTCTACACTACATTTTCTTAAGTTTTGTATTTTTAATTTCGTCCAATACCAAATCTTATTGTAACACCCGAGGCCACGACTCGGAATCCAAATCCTAGGCCTGGGCGTTATACTTATCTATAATGATGGAGTTCCAGCAAAATCCTTTTTAAGGATGAGAACAGTAGTTTGGGAGTTCGCTCGAAAGAACGTACCAAAGGGATCTTTCGATCACTCTGTTAGATGCAACACATGTCTTTCATCAAGCTCTCGAACAAATAAGATATGCAACAAAAAACAAAGAGATGTTTTTTTTTATTTCTCTCTCTTAGTTGTGTAACATTTAATGGTAGTGAAGACAAGATTGATCATCATCGAGAAAGAGTCAAGTATTTTCCTAGTTAATTCACCAATGTGAATGAGAATATTCCTTTTTTTATTGTGGTGTGAAATATTCTTTTGTTCATTTTATTTAGGAATGCTACTGGAGTGAGGGTCGCAGATGCACTCTTTATTCTTAATCTCGCAAAGAAAAAAATAATAATAATCTTTTAATAAAAGTATATATATTTTGTTGGAGGAAGAGAAGCTTCTCTTTTATAGAGAGGCCTTGATCAAGTTGGAAGTCTCGTCTTGTCACATGTTGCTAGTCTCCTTGATGCTTATGATGTTAATGTTGAAGAATGGTCTTTGATTCTTACTTTCTATTACTCATTGATGATTGCGAAGAGAGGTGACAAGATTTATGGTCTCGTCAAAGGAGATGTAGTATCCTTCGAAAGGTCGAGCGATTGAAGAGGTACCCTGGTTGAGGTAGAACTTGCCCTCAAATTGAGTTTGAGGATGATTGATGGTCGAGATCATAAAAACTCATTTTAAATCATACAGTTACATATTTTATTTTAAAATATTTACTATTTTTGTCAATTCAATACAGCAGATAAGTCACTTATTAATTACCATTTCAATAGTTCATGGTTCGACCTCCATTTCGTTAACTCGAAGTTCCAAATTATGATTTTATAAGAACTTGGAATTTAAAAAAGTAAAATAAAACACTTCAAAATATAAATACTAAAATAGAAACTTTTTTGAGACTAAAGATGATAAAGGGAAAAATAACATTGAATTTATTGGCCGAACCTCTTATATATGTGGTTCATTATATAATTTACTCTTACTTTATTTCATTAATTTTCAAGTATTCAAACAACACTTCAATATCCTAACAAAATTCCAAAGAGATAATTAATCCCTTATGCTTTTAACATTTTTCAAATATACCCTTCCCATGGATGAATGTTAAAATTTACTTCGGGAATTGATATAAATTTAAAAAAAAAAAAGTCACTTAAGAGAGATAAAATTTTTAACTCTTCCAAATTTCTGAATTGGGAGACGTTGACAACCTAAATATAGTTCAAATGATTAATACATATTTTTCGACCAATTTTAATGTTAGACATTTCTATAAGTAGCATAAAATGTTGGTACAAAATTTATGGTCAACCAATTTTAATAGGAGACATTCCTATAAGAAGTAGCATAAAATAAATGTGTTTTTAAATATAGCAAAAATTTGAAATTTTATAAAAACAACACAATCTAGATAGATTAAGCTCAAATTCAAATGTAATATAAAACGCAATAAATCACACCTGCACTTATGCTATATTTTGTAATATAATAATAATAATAATAATAATAATAATAAAATCTAGTTACATTTTTTATTTTTAGGATATACAGCTTGCACTGTCTAGTTAAATTACTCTTTAAACATTCACTAAAAAGGGTATAATCAGGGTGCTCATTGATTGAGTTAGTTTGAGGTAATTTTTAAATCCAACTCAATAATTTATTTACATATTTTCCAACCTGGAGTCAAGATATTGAAGTTTATGTTTATTTATATTTGAAATATCACTCTCCAAAAGCTTCAAAAGTTATTTTAAATATATCGTTTTGAAATTAATAATAAATTAGAATGGTTCAATTCAAACCAAATTTATTTTAAGTAAACCCTTAAACCAAATAAACCCATAAAAGGTTTCATTTATTTGAAACCAATTCAACCCAAACAATTTTATAACCCAACCAAACTGTATGGGTTGGGTTGATCGGGTTTTTTTACCACTCTAAAATATAGTTGAAAAATACTAAAACATAACCTACTAAATTAGAATTTTTTAAACAATAGGGACTAAATTGGAGGAAAAAAAACCATTGGGAGTAAAAAACAAAGTCATTAGAACTAAACAAGTATTTAAAATTTCAATAAAAAAGCCCTTGATGGAAAAATACAATGTTAAATGGAAAAGGGGAATCCAAAAAAGTGTTGATTGGGAGCATACTTCTTAATTCTTACTATCCATCTCCCTCTAAATCTCAAAAGAGGGCTGTAGCAGTCACAGCGATGATATTTGTACAAAAATTTACAAGTTCAGAGAAGTTAGGAGTGAGAAAAAGTTTTCAATTAATCATCAAAAACTCTCATATCATAACATTTTGCTAACCTGCGAGCAGTTCCATCAGTCATCACACTTTCTACAATCTCATGTTTCTTGTAGTTTCCTTTCAGTACTTCTTGTTGCTGCTTTGCCAGCTTCTCCTCTTCTAGCAACTGTTGCTGCAAGATAAATGGGACAAACCTCTGTTAACAATTACCCGACAACATTATGCTTATGTAGTCTCTCGATCTCTGAACTTTCAAGCTCGTGCTCATCTAGTCTTTCAAGCTCATGTACTTTAAAAGTTTCTAATAGGTTGAACTTTCAACTTTATGTCTAATAGGTCTCTGTCGTTGACGGATCTTCGTCAGTTTAACACCTACGTGGCACGCTAGCCATATTATTTGAAGGTTATATGGTGGGCTATTTACAAGGAAATTCAAGCGTTTGGTGGCATAAGTGTTAAACTAATGATGTCAATGACAGAGACCTAGACACAAAATTGATCGTTCGGAGACATATTAGAATCTTTTTAGGTATAAGGACTAAATAGATACCACCTCAAAACTTCGGAAGCCTATCATAAACCTTTTAAAATACAGGAAGGAATTAATAGATACAACTCTAAAAGCTGGAGGACCAAATTTATAATTTAATCAAATTACAAATTTAGTTATGAACTTTGATGATTGTGTTTATTTAGCCTTTAAACTATAAAAAGTTTTAGTTACATTCCTGCCCTTTAAATTATGATTCAATATACCCGCTAAGATTTGACATGCTTATTAGATAAACAAACATTCATTGATTTGGCACGATGTGGCAAACAAATGGCAGAAGATGGTGGATAACTAAACAAAATAGAGTGACAATGGACCATAATGAAAGATGCACATGCCACATTATTTTGTTTAGCTATACTTCTTTTTCTGCCAGCCATATGCCACAAGGGCTAAATTAATTGATGTTTGTTAAATAAACATCTCATAACATCATTTAGTTAACGGTGATGAATATATAGAATCACAATTCAAAGTTCAAGGATGTAATTTAGACTTTTTAAAATGTAAGAAACTAAATAAATACAATCATATAGTCCCCAAACTAAATTTATAATCTAAAAATCCAACAAATAAAAATAGCATTGGAAATAAATTTCTTGTTTAAGTTGGTGATGGGATTTCAAAACTCATGCCTTGAGCAAGAATGCAGTTTCCGCGGCGTGTTTCCTTGTAAAAAGCTTCATTTTCTTTGCAACTTGAAAATCAGGATCATTCTGATCCAGCCAGGAAAAGCTAATCTTGCTACCAGGCTTTATCGGGCGATCATCAAACATTTCCACTTCTGCAGGGCGTGCCCTCACCGGTCTTGGCATTCCAGAAATCATGAACGGGAACTCGGCTATCACTGAAATCACGGATTTGGCCTCCTTCAAGTCCTTCATCTCTACTAAAGCACATTGAGAGCTATTCAATGGCTCCATGTAGTTTGGAATAAATTGGACCCTGACAACAGTTCCAAACTGATCTAAAGCAGTTCTCATGACAGGCTCAGTCACTTGAGGAGAGAGGTTATCAACATAGACAGTCCGTTTTACCTTCTCCTCAAAGGCAGCAAATTGCTCCTCCGTAGCTGATCCCATGTGGATTGATAAATAAGAATCTAAGATAATCATTAAAGTAGTTAGCCTAATTGTTCATACTTTAAACTAAAATAGTTTTGTCATAAAAAACAACGTGACAGCAAAAGAGAAAGAAATTCACCACGACGAGTAAACAACCTTTGAGTCAAGTGTGACTCTAAAGTAATTTATTTCTGTTAACTCCGTACTAGACACAGATCAATCTCGAGGTGGCAACAAGCCTCCCAGACCTACATTTTAGAGTTGAAAAACTCCATCAGATAAGTCCATCAGAAACAAGCTTCTGCCATGAAAAAATGGCCCAATGATCTAAGGTTAGAACCATTTTCTAGACTAACTAAATACTATAAGGCTATAACAAACTTTCAGAGATAGAAAAGCAACATATATTTTTTTAACGAGAAACAATTTTTCATTGACATATGAAAAGGAAAAATGTACAATGTACAACCCTACCTAGAGTGAAATAGAAAAGCAACATATATTATTATCCTGTACTTCAAAAGATATAAAAACAAATTGTCCCTAATTTCATCTCAGAAGATCAAGACTTCAGAGCTTTGAAGACCAAGGAGTAGGCTGAGACTAAGCGAAAACACATTGTTAATCTCTTTCTTGTAAGTGAACGGCATCTAAATTACATCCACAGATTTTTTTAAAACTTCTGACATTAGTGCTCTTGCCTAAACTTTTACTTCCCCTCTGTTTATTTCCGGAAGAAATCACAACCCATCGATATCCTTAATTTGTTCTATCAATTTCGTGCATAGGAATTTTTTACAATCCATAAGCATTTCGTAAACAACAGGAGGACCAGATTCGAGAATTCAACTTTACTATTCAAATCAGAACACATATCCTTGTGAATATTTCGAATCTTCGCATTGTTCTTGTTTACACAGAAATAACAAGGAGATGGGTATCAATGAAGAACACATCAAAGAAATCGGTAATGAAACAACGAAAACCAAATATTAAAACGTGAATCTTACCAGTCGGGAGACGAGAAACGAATTGATCAACGGTGAGCGAGGGGCATGCACCTGTAGAAGCGAGAACCGAGAGGGAGAGAGAGTGGCGCGTTGAGAAATGGAAGACGACTTGATAAAAACGTGAGAGTTGATGGTCTTCAATTGCTGGAACTTGAAAAGCTTGAACTCTGACAGGGAAACAGAGGGGAATGATAATGCTGGTACACACACATCATAAATTAGGGCAAGTTTTTTTTCTCTTTCTTTCTTTTGACGAAAATTAGGGCTAAGATTTTTTTTTTCTCTCTCTTTCTTTTGACGAAAATTAGGGCAAGTTTTTTCCTTTTTTTTTTTAACAATAATTAGGACTAAATTTGTTTTAGTACAACGGGTGGGTATCGAACTCACAACTCATAGTTTAAAAATAATTATTTGTTCGCTAAGGAGATCTATCTTTTTTTTAATACAATTTTCTAACCTTTTGTTCAGTCACCCACCTACGAGAAATTACATTCATTGTCTCTCGTTTCTTTTTTCCTATGAATTTGTCCATCATATCACAAACACAAATCTTGATTTGAATGTTGTTTGATTTCTTTTAGAAAACCAAATCGATTAGCAATGAAGGTCAAGCTTGTTGTGTCATTGGAGTTGTTGGTTACCTTGATGTACTCCGCATTAAACCTGTCCACAAAATCTCTGAGGTGTTTGATTGTGGGAAAGTGCGTAGCTAGCTGTTTGTTTTTATGATGGGCTGAAAACTGCTTATAAATGTCTTATTCAACTATTTGAAGCTTGTGATGGAACTAGGTTTCACCTATACCGCATTCGAGCTGCTCCTAGTACCAAAAAGGCTTAGCAGTTAATAAGGTTTATCACTACATGGAGTTCCTTTAATGCCTCATAGGTCTCCACGTGCTAACTGAATCAATTAATCATCGCAATTCTTTGTGGTCAACATCTTGGACTTGATTTGAATGTATGCTCCATCACTTCTTTAGTGAAATAGGGATCCTCATGCTCTCGACACCATCGATCCCATAAGTGTTACCTTAGTAGTCATACTTCAGATCATTGCGCTCTTATCGGACTTTGCCCTTGAACTTGCTTATAAGCTTGTTGATCTTCAATCTCCAAACGACATTACCTAACTGCAATCTTTAAACGTTTAGGACGTGGAAGATCTTGTCCTTTTAAGTCGGTAAGTGGTTGTAAGTCCCACGGGTGAAACCAAAATTTTAGCTGAAATTTGATAGCTTCTTGAACTCGTATGAGCTTGGCAAAACCCATAAAAGGACATGCACATATAAAGAAAAACATTATGGCGTGAAAGTCATAATAGTTTTAGCTATTCGTTCTCAAGACAAACAATCATAATTGCATCCTATGTACATAGTGAGTTTGTGTATTTATATGCGTATATTAGTGGGTCCCACGCTATTTGGTCAATCCCATGATCTCGAGATTATTAGCGCATAATACGTGTTTACGAATAACGTGCAATTACGAATGGTTTAAGGAGTATACCTTAATTTCTACTGGTGGACTAGTCGTCGTCATTGGGGGATAAAGAGTCATACATTGAACCTCGACGACTTTTTATTCCAGCTATGTGGAAGGTTGTTTCCTGCACTACCCGATAATTCTCCTTTTTAGGAGTTAGTCTTCTAAAACCGATCATAATAGTTTTTAAAATGATTATAAGATGGTCTAAATACATCACTATTTGAATGACAACAAATATTATATATATATATGTATTTCTTGCAATTTCGATAAAGGGAGTTTTCTTAATTTTCATTATCTTATATGTACGATTTCTTATATTGTTAAGTTTACCAAGTCTTGCAGTTGAAAAGTTGTGTAGAAGGATCATGATCGCCAAGTAAACAACTATGAATCAATTTCATTGCCCCTTAATTTCCTTTTAAGTAGTTCATCTTTTTCTAATACAAATTGCGGAGGTAAGAATTCGAACTCGCGACGTTTTGATCGAACATACCTTACCCCATTCAACTATGCTTCCATCGACTCCAAATAATTTGTTTTCTTATACACTTGAACTAAAAAGAAAGTTATTACATATGAAATTACATCTGACAAAGTAAATATCAAGTTCAGTTGCTTAAGAAAAATAGGTAAAAAATAATCTTATTCCAAAAGAAAAAGGTTGAAAATAAAATTTCAGAGAACTAACCCATCACACATCACTTTATTTGCAAGAATGAACCAATTTCATCAAAATTTCGAAAAGGGTATCCGAATTTCTTTATTTATTGTTTTTTGGCGCCGCCGCTGGAGGAAGGCCGTATAAGGCGGATGATTCGTAGGAGCCCACCACTGTTCATGAACGCAACAGACCAAAATCTTCCACTTCCAGAATCGAATTCAGAGTTGAAATCGTATCGGAGAATCAAAATCAGCTGCTCCGACATCTCAGATTTCTCCGGAAAATCTTCGTTGATTCCATTGTTCTGGATATCCATCACTCCGAAACATCTCAAGAACTTTATTTCTTTCATTTCAAGGTTCGTTCATTTCCCCGCCTCAGCTGGAAGCGTTCATTCAGATTGTCGTTAATGTGTATTATCTGGATTTTCATCGTATTTATTTTCATTGAATTGCGCGTTAGAATATCTGAATTTTGGATTATACCGACGCGAGAGCGAATGCGATTGTTGTGAAGTGGAACATGTATTCAGTGTGGTTATGAGTATTTGGCGACGAGGCGTGCATATGCTCGTGGGTTGTGAGGTTGGCGGATTGATATTTTTCTACATTTGGTTTTGGAAATGGGGAAGAAGAAGCGGCATGGTGGGGGAGGGAGTGGGAAGAGGAGCAAGGGAAGGACGCCACTGAAAGATTACTCGTTGAGTGGTGAAGAGAGTGAGCTTCTATCAGAAGAGATGACTGCGATGTAAGTATTTGTTTGCATCAATTGATTTTGTTATGTTAATGGTGTTTTCTCCATGCTTCTGATCTACCAGCAAAGTCGTTCATTGAATATGAGAACTTTCGAGTTCAAAAAACGTGGGGTGGGGATCGAACTTTACTTGTAACTGATTCATTGTTCATTGTTTTTTACCTTATTAGATTCGGTTCATTTGAAACCAATCATATATCATAAGATTCAACCGGTTAGTTCCAATTTAAATCGTATCATACTTGATTTTTAATTGGTTGCCATTGGATTACCTCCCGTCTTTTATCAAATTAACTATAGTCAATAATTTATTGCACCGTCGAGTCTACTAATAATGCACCTTTCTGTTAGGCATAAAATAATTTTTATTAAAAAGGTGAAATTCCCTTCCGTCCGTTGTTCCCAATTGGATGAGTTCCTTGTAATATCTTTGGGTTTTGGGCTCTTTCCGTTGTCTTTCATGTTATCAATAGAGTTTGTTTCTTGTCCTTTTGTTGTTTTTGTTGTTATTATAATAAATAGAAGTCTTTAATGGTTATACTTTATAGCTACTTTGTCATCCCCTTCATTATTTAGCACTTGCATAATGGAAGTCTCTTTGGTTTCTGATGAAACAAAAAAGTCGAGAGGTGAAGCCCCCACATAAAGCAGACAAAATTTACCAAAGAAAAAAAAAAACGATAAATGAAAATCTACAATGTTTTGCTTTTAGTTGTGCGATTTTTCAAGAAGACTGCAAAGTTGTTACTGGCCCACCTCCTCAAGTTACCATCAAACTTAGGTATGTGCAATTTTCTATGATAACTGTTATATCAACTAATTAAAATATTTTAGTCATTGAGCTTTTTTTTGACTACCAGGCCATATTCAAATGCCATGGGGTTTGAGGATCTAGATGTATCTGCTCTTCTTTCAGTGAAGTATGGTCGTCTCCAATTTTTTCCCATTTATTTCAGTCGAGTTTCAAAGTTAAATACGTATTTTGTTCCTGTTCTTAGTTAGGTACTTGCCCGGATATCCATACAAATGTCCAAAATTGCTTATAACTCCAGAGAAAGGTTTGTCAAAAGGCGACACTGATAAGTTGCTTTCTCTTCTTCATGATCAGGTACAAGCTAGTTGTTGCTTGATGACAAATGTACTTGTTTATTTTCTAATTTTAGAAGTACTTCTGTAGATGTAGCATTTCTTTGTGTAATCATACTAATTCAAATTGTTTTAAATGCTCCCCTATTTTTAAAGGGAAATTGCCGTGGGTAGCAAAATATCTTTTATGTATTTCTAAATATGTCCTGTTTTTTAAATTTTCAAATATAACAAAATTTTTCATTTAAATCAGTAGTATATCAGACACTTATATCAATAGTATATCGGACACTCAAATTAGTAGTATATCATAGGTATGTCACATACATATTGCACAAACACTCATATTAGTAGCATATCAGATGTATATCACATACATATTGCAAGTATATCAGACACTCATATCAGTAGTATATCATATAAATATATCAGCAGTCAGATATATTACAGATGTATATCATTTGAGTAAAGTTGTCATTTTTCAATTAAACCTCTGTTTTTTTAAAAAGTGCTATATTTGAAAAAATTAAATGTGGTTGCTATTTTGATAATTTTATTAAATATTTTTGACATATTTGCAATTGTTCCTTTTTTAAAAGCCACAAACTGTTAATTACCTCTAGAAGAGTCTCTCAAAGAAAAATCTTAGGATAACAAAAATGGTTAGAGAACTGGTGGATCTATATTGTTGTTCCTATTGTCATGGAAAGAACCAGGGAAAATACGACTTGGAGGATAGTGGATATAAATGAAGAAAAGGAACTGAAGCTCATCATTTTTTTTTGATAAGAAACTAAACTTTAATTATCAAAAGAGGAATACAAAAAAGGGAGATGAGCTGTCCCCACACGCCAGGGATTACAAAAGAGCTTCCCAGTTGGCGAAAATTAGCAAAATACCATAATTACAGAAAATTTTGTTACTAGAGACCCACGAGGAGACGCATATTCTAATGTTCTGTCAAAAAATCTTCCTATTGGTTTCAAGGCCCAAAAAACACCTTCTGTTGCGTTCGAACCATAATCTCCAAACCAACCCGGCAATCCCACAAGACCAAAGGAGATTCGCTTTTTTTTTTTTTTTTTTTGTAAGAGTTATTCCTTTGGAAAGTTGAAGCAAAGCACTGGCTGCATTGTTAGGAAAACACCCGCTCACATTGAACGTTAGAAAGAGATCTGACCAGCATGCTAGGGCAAAAGGGCAGTTAAACAACAAATGCCATTGATCTTCTTCATTGTTCTTGCATAACACACACCAACTATGAGAAAGGCATTTCGTAGGCTGCATCTTTTGAAGTCTACAGCAGGGTTTTAGCTTCTCATGCATCATCAACCACTAGGGATCTTGAGCTGACATATAAAACTTCCTTCAAAACAGTCTGCCCTTGAAGACTCTTCTGTGAGGCAAGCCATGTATGATTTCACAAAAAAGATCCCATTATTTTCAAGAGGCCACATTTTCCTGTCACAGAAAGTCGAGGGAACCCAACCCGGGAACGGACTGGAGGGAATCGCAGCATGGGGAAAGATTCCTTCTGAAAGATAAGTCTCAGCCTCTATTATCTCCTGACTAACATTGCTCTACAGAGAACTCCTTTGAGTTCGCCACTCTGTTCAACCTTGGAAAAGCTCTATACAATGGGCCATTTATCAACCACAAATCCTTCCAGAACAGAGTTTTATCCCCCTTGCCCACCTTCAACAAGTATCTTGCATCCCCTTCCTTGCAATAGGGGATGGTATTAATCCACGGACCCTTGTACTGTACTTAATCCCTCCTTTCAGCGCTGGCCACCATTCTTTATCGTGAAGACTGTATTTACTCGCTATCACCCGTCTCCAAAGAGCCTTCATTTCTATCATGAACCTCCAGCCCCACTTGGCGAGTACGACCTTGTTTTTAACGATCAAATTTCCGATACCCACGCCTCCCTTCGATTCAGAGTCAAGTACCAGCTCCCACCGAATTGGATTAGGTCCAGCGTCCTCCCTCCCAAAGAAATTTCGAATCAACTGCTCAAGATGCATAATCACTTGCTCGGGCATTTAAAGATCGAGAAATAGTAAAGCGGTATGTTTGTGAGAACTGATGTCACCAAAGTAAGTCTGCCCCTGTAGATAGGCACAAAGAGTTCCATTTAGCCCGCCTTCTTTCCACTTTCTCTTCAATCGGCTGTCAGAAAAGCTTCTTTTTGTAGTTTCCTCCCAAAGGCATGCCCAAGTAGGAAATGGGCCACGTTCCTACTTCACATCCCTAGCTGCTAGCTATAAAAGGCAGCTTATCATCTGAAATATTCACACCAGCCACTAGAGACTTAGCCATGTTGATTTTAAGACCTGAGATATCTTTAAACCAACTGACCATGTCCTTCACATTTGAAAGGAGGAGATTGTCATCTTTAGAGAAGACTAGCGTGTCATCTGCAAACTATAGATGAGACACCTGCGTGCCATCCACACCCACGGTGAAGCCTTCAATACAGCCTTCCATCACACCTTTATCGAGCATTCTACTCAAAACATCAGCTACAAGAACAGAAAGAAAGGTAGCCAACGGATCACCTTGACGCAAGCCTCCTGAAGCCTTAAACCGCCCATGCAGTTTCCCATTGATTAGAATAGAGAAAGAGGTGCTTGATATGCAACCTTTTATCCACGATATCCACCTTGCCTCGAAGCCTTTTTTGTAAAGCACCTCCAGCAGAAAATTCCAGTCCACCATGTCATAAGCTTTCTCAAAATATAACTTTAACACCCAACCTCATTTTTTTTTGACTTTATAGTCATCAACAAGTTCGTTTGCAATCAGGATTGGGTCCAAGATCTATCTTCCAGCTATGAAAGCAGATTGATTAGCATTCACGGTCCAATCCAAGACTCCACAGATTCTTTTAGCAAGGACCTTCGCCATTATTTTGTAAAGGCTAGTGACTAAATTGTTTGAGCGATATTCGGACACCTTCGTGGCCCTTGCTTTCTTAGGTATAAGGTAGATATAAGTCTCATTGACACAAGAGTTGACGATGCCAAAGGATTTTGTTTCAAGATTGTGGAATTCGTGCAGCCCAAAAAGGGTGAATGTTCTATCATGGATTCTCCTTAATGGGAAAGTAAATACTATCGAAACTCTCCAAAAGAAGCTGCCTAACATGCTCCTCCATCCTTCTATACGTGTTTTGTGTGCTGCCAATTGCGAAGACCAAGTGCATTTGTTTCTCTTTTGTCCTTATGCATGAGTTTGCTGGGATCTCTTCATTCATATGTTCAATTTAGCTTGGGTAAAGACAAGTCAGTATTTTCATCAACTTTTCAGCTGCTATTTGGTCCTTTCTTTTCGCCTAAAGCAAGTCTTCTTTGGGTAAAAAGTTGTAAAGAGCTTATTTCCGAGTTATGATTTGAGCATAATCAAAGGACTTTCGAAGGGAAAAGCCGCTCAACTTTCGAATGCTTCAATATAGGTAAGTTCAAAGCCTCACAGTGGTGTGCTCTCTCCAATCTCTTTGCAAATTATTCTCCTAAAATGATTTGTTCTAATTGGGAGGTTTTTTTTTTGGGTGTAATGTATAAGCTTCCTTTCACTCTGTATTAAGTTTGGTTTGTTTGTATCTTTATCTTTATTTTTTTCTTCTTCTTCATCCCCCTTCATTTCACCCCTTTAGGGTTTTGTATCTTTGAACAATTTTTGTTCCTTTCATTTATCAATGAAAAGTTCGTTTTTTGTTTAAAAAAAAGAGTTGACGATGCCACTTTCGAAAAAGGCATGGAACACCCTAAGCTAGTCTTATTTAATGATGTTCGGTAAGCCCATCGGGACCGGGCGCTTTGTCATCTCCCAAATCTTCTATTGTTGCTCTAATTTCTGCTTCCGTGAAGGGGCTTTCCATTTACTCACGAAGCTCAGGGGATAGCGGTTTCCATTTGATGTTACTGGGGCAAAGACAAAAGCCATCTTTCCTTGGGTATAACCTCTTATAAAATGATAGAAATTGGTCCACCACCTTTTCCTCTTCCAGCAAGCTTTCTCCATTCTCATTTTTAATTTATGTAATCAGATTCTTCGTTGTTCTGGCATTTATAAATCTGTGAAAGAGTTGAATTTTCGTCCCCCTCCTTTAGCCACACTGCTTTACACTTTTGCCTCCATCTCCTCTGATCCTTCACGACTGCCTCTTCTAAGTCGGCTTTTAAGAGGGCTCTTTGATTGAACTCCTCCTCTGTTCTAGACAATCAAGCTTGCAGATTTCACGAGTCATTTCATCCTTCTTGGAGCTGATATCTCCGAACATTATTTTATTCCACTCTTTCAGCTTGTGCTTAATCAGCTTCAGCTTCTGAATAAAGCAGAAACCTGGTACTCTTCTGTAATTCTTCGTTTCATCAATGAAACATTGTTTCCTTTAAAAAATCTAAAAGAAGATTTCATTAAGGGGCATTTGGTGTTAGAAATTGATATGGAAATCCTGCCAAACAGATTTTTAGAAATGGGATGCTTGGAGTGTTAGGAATGAGTTTCAAACGTCTGGAAATAAAATAAAGGATGTGGTGTTTGATACTCAAGAATGAGAAAGCATTTAGTATAATATACTCTCTTCGCTCCTAAAACATTCTAACGAGTCGCCAACCTGAGCGTAGTCCAATTGGTTAAAGTATTATGCATCTGTCTTATAGATTACATATCCAAGTCCTTGCGCCACGTTGTTGAACTAAAAAGACATACTACCAAGTGAAACATTTCTATAGTTGATGGGAGACAAAGACCTCTAGGAACTCGTGGTTTTTTGCTGTCTTTTATATGTTATTGGGAGGCTATGAACTGCATGGATATAGAAATGGGACATGGACATGATATAGACATGGAAAACTGTTAATTGATAAAAAGAAAATTGTTACTTAAGTGTTGATACAAGGGTGTAAATAATAAAGAAGAAAAAGAAAACGAAATCCTTGCCTATGTGGATAATGAAACACTTATCTATTGTTGAACCCCTAACCTTGTCTCCAACAAAAAAAAAAACCAAAAAAACAAGGAAACCCTAACCTATTAAAACCTAAATACAACATGAAATTAAAAGACAACAAATATAATTAACAAAAACTTCTGTTGAAATATACACCTTTTAATTACGGATATTTTCAAACAGTTCAATAATTTCCACATTAAAAATATAATTTAGTGTATGATAGTCACATTTGAAGGACCATGTGAAAGAAGTAATGCATTATGCAATGCGTTAAGGAGTTAAAGAAATTGGTTACATATTTGAAATATAGCAATGCATTATAACAAAAGATTTAAAAAAAAAAAAAGCTAAAACCACCTAAAATCTCACTGAAAAGAATCATAAAATAAGTTATGCTTGTGAAATTTGCTTAAAAAACAAGACTTTCATGTTTTTCACTCTCGAAATTTATTAAATCTATAACCAACTAGAATTCTCACAAAAAGAATTATAAAATCAGTTATGTTTATACACTTATTTGCATAAAGAACAAGTTTCATATTTTCCACTTTTTCAAAATTCATTATTCTTCTCACATAGTTTTTTATCGATTTCCTAGCATTTAGCATGTATTCTGACATTTTCCAAATAAGAAAAAGATTATTAAAGATACGTTACTGTAAATTGATAGTTTTGTGTAGGCTCTATATCTAAATTAGGGTTGACATGCTTCATACTTTACAGATTTTAAAGGTTTTCTCTTCTACAGGTCATTGTAAATATGTACCCTTGAAATTCATGGTTTTCCATGTCTTTTAATCTTAAAAATGGGATAACAATTGTTCTTATTTTTCAGGCAAATTATAACGCTCGAGATGGAAGGATAATGGTTTTCAATTTGGTAGAGGCTGCTCAGGAGTTTTTGTCAGAATTAGTAACGGTAAGCCAATCAAATAAATTAGTTAGATATGTTCAAATTAAAATCTTCTTTAAAATTATATTCAATATAATCTTTTTCCTGGCAATTGGAGTTTTATAAATGATGATGATAAGTTTGAAGCTGCTGAAGCAATCTGAAAATGGAATGGTCTAAAGAAAGTTAGATTATTTACTTGGACTTTGTGTTTTGGGGGTATCGATATGGCAGATAAATTCAACCAAGATGCATGGATATCTGTGTGTTGTGTGAAGAGACTGGGAAGTTCAGGTTCATTTGCTTTCTAATTTTCGTTTAAGTAGAAAATGTTGGTCAGTAATATTGCAAGAGGTGAATTGTTGCTGTAACCACACTCTAAAAGCATAAAGACCAAGGCTTTAGTGATTAACGATGTGCTTTTGGGACTGAAAATAATTCTTTCTTGGTGGCTCCTTTTACAAGCGAGGAAATTTGGAATGCGTAAACAGTAGTGGGAAGAATAAAACGGCAGGTCTGCATGGTTTCACCATAGAATTCTTTGTCAAATTATGGCCTTTAATTTTTTTTTTGAACAAGATACTAACTCTTCATTGAAATAATGAAAAGGAACAAAATTGTTGAGAGATACAAACTTTCGAAAGAGTGAAAGTACGAATAACATTGCAAATAAAGCTAAAGATTCATGAAGATGTAATAAAAGCACCCTAATTTACATTAATCAAACTGGGGGAGTAAGGTTTAAATAGAGAAGATAAAGAACTCCAAAGAGAGGCCTTGAATTTAACGAGATCGAAGCGTGCTGAATGGGGCTGCTTCTTTTCTTAAAAAATCCTCAAATTTCTTTCATACCACAACTCATACACCAATGCCTTTACACCATTCAGACAAAGGAGAGAAGCTTTAGGATTCAAAACAGGCCCATCAGAAGCTGAATCAAATTATCTGCCGTTTTCTTGTCGAAAACCCAAGCCAGATTGAATTCTTCTAGCAATAAACTCCAGCACTGTCTTGCATAAGGGCAAAAGAAAAGTAGATGTACCATACTTTCTTCATTGGACATACAAAATACACAAACCGAGGGGGAAAGACTGAAGCTTGGAAGCTTCTTTTGTAGAACATCGGATGTGTTGATCTTCCCATAAATAAGAATCCAAGAAAGAAGCATGCTTTCTTTGGACATTTAGTTTTCCAAAGAGCCTTAAATAAGACTTTTGGCGTAGAGTTACCAGAGGATGTTTTGCAGACTGATTCGACCATGAACAAACCGGAACGGTCTAGAGACCAGTTCCTGCTATCAGTAGGAGAATAATGGTGCAACAATGATAGTAATGAATAAAATTCCTCCATCTCATCATCTTTTAATAGCCTTCTTGTGATAATTTTCCATGACAAAGTGTAAGAATCCCAGAAATCCCTGAAGGAAGGAGTAAAAGCCTGAAGATCTGGGAATTTATTCCCAAGGGGCTGATCTCCCGTCCATCTGTGTATCCAAAACAGAACAGACACACCAGAGCCAAGTTTAAAATTCGAAAATTGGTTTCAAAGCAGCCATTGACGAGATATATTAATCCAAGGTCTTCTAAGGCAACCATTCAACATAATACCCGAAGACCAACCCAATTCAGACTCACCATATAAACTTGCTATCACTTTGCGCCAAAGAACATTTGGTTCACCACCAAACCGCCACCCCCATTTGGCCAACAGAGCATTATTTTTCTTAGAGAGACCACCAATTCCCAAACTACCCTCTTCCACAAGTTGAGAAGTGATATTCCAATTGACCAAATGATTTAAGGATCCCGAAGAACCACTATTCCATAGAAAAGATCTCATTTTCTTTTCAATTTGTTTACAAACCGTTGAAGGAATTTGAAACAAAGAAAAGTAATAAAGATGGAGGTTAGATAATATCGAGTTGCAGAGAGTTAGGCGGCCTCCTCTCGATAATTGAAACCTTCTCCATTTGTCCAGCTTCTTTTCAATTTTCTCCAAAATGGGACTCCAAAAAGCTGCTGATCTTGGATTCCCTCCCAAAGGGAGCCCTAAATACAAGAAAGGAAGAGGAGCCATCTGGCAATTTAGAGATTCTGCTACCTGAAGAACTTTTTCAGATGGAATACTAATGCCACAAATTGCTGATTTCTCCCGGTTAATCGAAAAGCCCGACATACACTCATAAGTTTTGATAGCCTTGATGAGATTATTCAGCATACCATCATTATTCTTACAAAAAATAAGGATGTCATCAGCGAACTGTAAATGGGAAATATGGATCTTATCCCTTCCAACCAAGAAGCCTTCATAGAAACCTCCCAAATTAATAATTTCCAAGATGCTACTAAGAACATCCCCGACAAGGAGAAAGAGAAAAGGCGAGAGAGGATCACCTTGTCTCAATCCTCTTGATGCCAAAATACGTCCTTTAGGTTTCCCATTGATGAAAATAGAGAATTTGGTTCCTCTAACACAACCGTTAATCCATTTGCACCCTTTCTTCCCAAACTGTTTATGTACTAGAACATCTTCAAGGAATGCCCAATCGACCTTATCAAAAGCCTTTTCTAGGTCTAGCTTAAGTAACCAACCACCCTTCTTTCGGGCTTTATACTCCTCTATGGCTTCGTTAGCGATCAATATTGGATCAAGAATATTTCTCCCTACAATAAAGGCACTTTGAGTAGAAGAGATTGTAGATGGCAAAACTTTCTTTATACGCTCCGCTAAAACCTTGGGCAATAATTTATAGATAGAGGAACAAAGGCTTATAGGCCTGAAATCACGGACTTTTGAAGTTGTTGTCTTTTTGGAATGAGACAAATAAAATTCTCCTTTAGGCAAGCGTTGATCTGACCATTGCCATAAAATTCCTTGAAGAGACGAATAAAATCTTCCTTCATGGCTGCCAAAAACGAATAAAAAATTATGTGGTAAAACCATCGGCCCCGATGCTTTGTTTTTGCCAAGATCATTCAAAGCGGATCTTCTTTATGATTCCTAAAAACAATGTTGAAGCCATAAACGATCTGAAGAGGAGATAAGGCGCCAATTAATCCCTCTGGGAGAAAATCTAGGGCCAAACTCTACTTGATAGAGTCGTTAAAAAAAAAAAACAAAAATTTCTTCCTCAATATCCTCCTGGTTAACCAGCGCATACCCATTCTCATTGTACAGCTCTGAAATGATAGACTTTCTCTTTCGGGCTGCAAGATATTTATGAAAAAAAGTGAAATTTTCGTCTCTCTCCTTTAGCCACTGAATCTTACTTTTTTGGAATAAGTTTATTTCATTCTCCACGTAAAGATTAAGCAGATTCACCAGCATAACACTTCTTTCTTTTAACTTCTTCACTTGACAGACCGCATTCTTCCTCCTCAGCATCCAAGAAAGAAATCTGAAGAAGGATACTTGCTTCCGCCTCTTTCTTTCTCTTCTCATTCTGCACATGCCAGGATCGAAGAGATGATTTCAAATTCCTCAATTTGGAATTAAAGGCATATCCCGCCCATCCGTAGGAATGATCGTTGGCAAGCTTAGATTCTATGATACCGATGCAGTCCTTGTCTTGCAGCCACGAGTTGAAAAATCTAAAAGGACCAAGGCCCCATTTAAAATCTTCCGCCTCCAAAATAATAGGAAAATGGTCTGAGGTGGTTCTTCAGCACGAGAAGCTTTAGAATTTGAGAAGACACTCTCCCAACTAGAAGAAACCAGGAATCTATCAAGAGAGTGACCAGATTCAATACTTGGTTTAGACCATGTATATTTTCCATTGGCCAACGGAATCTCCACCAAATCCAGCTCCTTAATAAGGTTGTTAAACCTCTTCATGGCTTTTGTTGAACGAACAGAGGAGGACCATTCGGAAGGCCACCGCATAATATTGAAGTCGCCACCTATGCTCCAACATCTTTCAGAAAGTTTTGAAATATCTCGAAGTTCTTGGAAAAAGAATTTCCTTTCCTTGTAATATGTTGGACCATAAACAGTGGTAAGCCAAACATTATCAAACAAGATTAGAATTGATAAGGAATACCCCCTTTGATCACTTCTTTCACACTGATTTGCCCTTCATCCCACATTAAAAGAATGCCTCCCGATTTTCCAATTGCATCAATGGTCGACCAGCCAATATCTTTAGAACTCCACAAGGATTTGATTAGGGAGGAATCAAATTGTTGCATCTTTGTTTCTTGTATGCACACTATATCTGGACATTAATTTTGGAGAAGCTTCTTAATCTTCAATCTTTTTTCATCTTTATACAGCCCTCTAACGTTCTACGAAATCACTTTCATTGTAAGCCGGAGATTGGAACCAGATTGATGTCTGCTTCTTTAAAGAATGGAGGGATTAAGTCTGACTTTTCAACTTCTGCTGACTCTCTGAACAATTTCTGCAAATCTGTCTCCACCGATTGTTCACATAACATTTCGTTTGGAGTTTCAAAAGAGTTAGCAATCGGAGATTTTGGACTACTAACACTGTACTCTGAATCAAAGTCTTATCCATTAGAAATCTTAGAAAACGAAGGCGAAGAGACTCAGTCCTTAGTAGAGTTGATAACACCTTGTGATAGAGAGGGAGGCAAATGGTCAATAGGATTTGATGGTGGAACCGATACTCTTTCTTCAATTAATGCCTCGATTGAATCTGACTTTAATCCTTCAACCATGGCTAATTTCTCATATGGTGTAGTGTTTGGGAAAGTGTTCTCTCTTTCCGCATTGAATGCTGCCAATAAATTTAATTTCATTCCCTCAGCGGTGTCTAAATCCTTAGTAACTTTATTAGCTGCCATTTTCCCCTTTTTTCTTGAATAGAAAAACGGAAGAGAAGCCACTCGACTGTTTGCCTTCATTTCTTCAATAGGGAAAGAAGAACACTTAATTTTTGGGGATCCATTAATGCTAGGACCCCTTGAATCCCTGCCAATAAATTCCGGCTTTTGCTCTTTTCCTTTTGAAATTTCAACATTAATGCCCGCCTTCCAAAAAGGGAGTAAATGCTGACCGTTTAATTTG